GCTAGACTGACACTAACCATGTACATGCTCTGTGATTGTTTATGTCATGTGTTGTTGGAGTTTGTTCCTACATTTTGGTCCTTAAGTTTCTATATACTTAGTCAATTTAGTCTGTACTTCAAAAAGAAATATGGTACTTCATTTTTTAAAACATTTTTATTTAGACCACAAATGTAAGCATTCAGAGTGACACTGGTTTAGGATGTAGCATTGTGAACCTTTACAAAACATATAGGTGTCAAACCTCCTAGTTATTAACAACCCAATGGTGTGCCAACACATATTCTATGGCGAACCGTCAACACATATTTTATGTGTTTTTTTTCACATATACATGAATTTGTATAATTTTCACCAAATAGTCCTTTCCACTCTAAACTCCTCACATGGTTTCTTTTTAAAACATAGTTAGGAAGCCAAAACAGGTACAATTATCATATATTTCACACACAGAAAACAAAAGATCGGAGAAAAGTCTAGACAGGATGAGATACATTTGAAGCACATTAATCACATCACTACCCCGCAGATTTAACAAGACCCTTTGGAGGGGCCCTATTGCAATGTCGGGACTCGCTGAACTCTGGTTCAGTTAGGTTAAAACTAGCTCCAACACAGGCAGCCAAATTAAAATGCATTATAGTATATGATTAAGAATCTAACAATGTTACATCTAACATCAGTCATAAGGGCTATTTTAATGTGGAAGCACTTCTACTTATAGTTCATTGTGCTTGTAAAACTTTGAGTTTAAGATCACTCATATACTGGTTAAAGTCGCATCTACTGCTTCTTGCTAGTTCAAATGTTTTTCCGAAGGACATGATTGGCTTTCAAGCTATCTGTAATCCTGCTAGTAAATGAACGTATTGAACTCAGATTTCAAGGTAGGCACAGAGAAACTTTCCCCTTCAGAAGATCATTCTGCACAGTCAAGTTCAAACATCAAAATGAAAAGAATTGAGCCTAAAAAACATATTTTTGACTAGAGGAGGGCTTAACATATGGTTTCAAATGAACGATTTAGGCCTATCAGATTAGTTTTACATTATTGAAATGTGTTTTTACCACCAATGCCAGCCAGGTTCAAAACTGAATCATTTAAAGGCTGATGGAACATCCAGTTGAAGCAGGAGCAGCTCCCTCTACAGGTAATAAACGGTGCCACAGAAACCTAAAAAACATATATATGCCAATGCCAAATACCATAACCTGCCATAGATACACATTTATACACACACGGTCACAGATAAGGCCCCCCAGACCTCCCTGGTGATCCGCACTGGAGCGTGTAGCCACCTGTCAATCACCACATCTCAGCCGCCTTGAGAGAGACATTTCGTCTGGGACAACGGCAGCCCGTCCCTCCCCATACATTCTGCTTCCCCTAGCAACCATGGCCGGATGACTGAGAGGCTTTGTCCCCTCACAACGGGAGTCCACCATTGAACCCAGGAGCCCGTAGCAACCAGAATTAGAGGGTGCCAGAAAGGGGTCTTTTCTGTGAAACGGGGGTGAAAGCTCTGTTCTTGTCCCTTCGTCTGGGATTCATATCAGGGGCCTGAATGGCGTCCCCTCCTCCTTTTAAATGCTGGTGTAACGGAGCGTATGAAGGGGCTAGCGGTGAGCAGATAGGATCATGGTTAATCTGCTGTTCCTCTCCACTGTGGTCCGATAGGGACACTTAAGCAGGCTCTGTGGACAGTTAGTGGCGTGGGGAGGCCTGGGGATACCTGGGGAGGCCGGAGCTGGGAGGCCCGGCAGCAGGTTGAGAACAGAAGGGGAAAACACAAATGGGCAGTGGTGAAGGACTTTAATCAAGGTAATGTAGGCCTACCGAAGGGTTTACAGCAATATACAGGCTGCTCCAGTATTAGTAAAAGTCCTTCATTCAAATGTTACAGATGTTTCATCAGCAAATGTACTTGAAGTATCATAAGGTTGTGCAGAAAAATATCTTCTGTCACTGATGTGACATCTGTGCATTGGTGTGCATTTAGTTGATGTTGTTGGTCAGGGTTGGAGATTTGAACAATAAAGCGAAACACCTTTGGCATTTCTTTACAGCATTTAAGTCCAGTGGGTCCAAATGAAAGTGTTTAATCCTCTACAGTGGGTCCTGTGGTGGAAGAAGCATTCAGAGCATTTCACTACAGTAAAAGTAGGCTATCAATAGGCCTACCACATAATAAAATGATCAAAGTACTGCTTGAAAGTGCAACTTAGAAATGTACCTAAACAATACAATAAAATAACTCAATATTTAGAATGACCCTTTTACAGATTTTAGTTGAACAGTAACATTTAGGCAGGATTTTACGTTTTAGCTGATGAAGGTTAAGCTTTTTACAGCTTCATGCACTTCATGCACCTAAGTAACTATAGCTTAAAATATATGTGGTACAAAGGAAATTAAATCTAGATGATTAAAGTAATAGGAAAGAAAAAAATAATCAAAACCAATGTTTTGAACCATTGGAATCCTTGCTCATTTTGTTAAAACGTCTGACATTTGGACCTCTCTATGCCTAAAACAATTATTTAAATTACTCAATCTGAGAAGTTTAGAAGTGAAGTCACAATGGTAGAACTGCTAACAACTCAGAAAATGTGACAAAAGGGCCTGACGATACTTTCAATCACTGATGAGGACAGAACTGATGTGCGAAAAAAAAACAACGTAGTATTCGTTTTTGAAAAGTCCAGATCTAAATGGTCAGAGGGGTTTTAGAAGTCAGATGCACCTGCTAAGAAGCAACCTTTAGGGGACACTGAGGCTGCACAAAACGTGAGTAGATTAAGTATAGAGAAAGGAGTCAGGGCTTGAATAGTTTATGAGCAGTTCTATGGACTTGTGGTTTCTTTCAATGGGGGCTTTTACTGCTCTCTTTATGAGGGAGTGAACATGGATCCCTGAATACTTCTCTAACTGTTGTAGATCCTCGTAACTGTAAAGTGAATTCAGAGATTTTTACTGCAGAGTGACTGACACATATGTGCAAACTGTAAAACAAAAAGATGAATACCCTGGCAACATAATCACCATTAGACACATTACGTTCTTTTCTTAGAATAATGGCGAAAAGACAAAAAGCCAACTAGCCCAAGCCAGGTGCTCTGACACGACCTCCCACGTTGTACTCTGTACATTTCACATAAGCACGTATAGAAGATTAAAAACTAATCTCAACCTACAAACAACATCGCTGGCATGCAGGGAAAACATGCTTATCCTGGTATGTTCTTTATCATTAATGAGCGTCTGTGCGGCCCCCTGCATGGGAGTTATATTGTGCTGCTCCCATTCTAAGCTCTTGTCCTGCACCCTGTTTCCCACCCTCTCCTTCCCGCTGACCTGTCAATCAAAGATCATGATTGAGCCCGGATGGCAGGCAGTCAGTCATCAGCAATGAAAGTGAGGCCTCATTCTCTGTCTGTCCCTCCCCCTTTTCATGCCCCTTTGCCTCCTCAAGTTTTTCCATCTCACCTTCTCTGTGGCCTCTGGGTCTCTCCCTGCTGTCCCTGTACAGTTTGTGTTTTTTGTTGTGGGAGTCACATGTGTGGTCAGGGCCTGTCCAAAGGAGGGCAAACATCAAACATGGCTGCCAGGATGCCGTAAAGCTCCCTTAACGTACAAAGGGGAAGATCTGGCATCATATATAAATAAGTCTGATTTAGTTTTAACAGGCCTCTGCGTTTGCCCTGTAAGTGGTTGATGAATAAACATGAGTAGAGTTGGGGCGGGAACGGCATGGGGGTAGGATAAGAAGAGGCCCGGTTTGAGTGTGTGTGTATTTGGGGGGTATCGGGGGCAATGGGAGAGCCTTTCTTCCCAGCAGGGCTGCATCTCGTTTAATTGGAGCACTTGTGGCACCATTACCTCCTTTACTCAAACACGTTACTGATGACAAAAGAAAACAGCACTAAGCTTGCCTTTGTTAGCGAGGAGACGGGACGAGGCCATGGATTCCTCGCTGCTACTCATGTGTGGGAATCATCCACACTCCCGCCATGAGCTGCTGCCAGCCCTCCATCAGGGAAACACCGCAGCCAGGTGGACAGAGCATGTGGAAATTACATCACAAAAAGATGAGAAAAAACTGCACCGTAAACCGACGTCCAGTATTTAATGACATTATGACATCTATTTCTCTTCAAATCAATTACACATTTTTAGTAACAAGCGTTCATTGTCATTGTTTCCCCAGATATTATCTCCATCAATCAATTTTAAATGATGTATTCCAGTGTGTGCAGCCCTGCCAGTGACCTTGCCCTCTTGTTACTCTTTGATCCGAGGTCATGAGGATGAGGCTGGTCTGCAGTTTGTTATTGGGGACCACAGTGTCCCAACAGAGCAATAAGGGTGTGCCCTTTACCCTCAGTCGTACTCCACCAGAGAGGGGATGCTGAAGGGCTTTTTAAATGAGGGTAAACTTATTTCCTCCTCTATTAAGTGTTAAATATCGATTTTCTATTAACTATTTGGTCAAAGTGCATGTGAATGGATTCAATTATAAAAAAACATACATACTGTTCTAAATTAAAATACAATGGGTACAGCATACTGTATATATCATGCAAATGTTTGAATAAATGAACTCAAAATTACCATTAACAAACTTTTCACTTTTAAAATACCATGAGATTCTAGATGTAAATGTAAAAGAATAAGCTTTTGACAAAATCATTCATCGTTACGTAAATAAAAAGGCCTGCTTATACTTTGCTTTAATCCTCCAATTAACATTTTATAAGCCGCACATTAACATTTAATATATTGTTTCTTATAAACCATGTTATTATAAAAGCAGATATATTAATAAATACAAATGTAGTAAAACACAACTCCTAGAAGTATCTTTTCTTTGTCCTAAAACTACATTATAGGTTTTTATAGACTGGACAATTAAGTGTTTATATATTGCTTATAAATGTATCGTACGGTGGGTATTAAGTTAAGTGTTACCACACATCCTTTATGTCACAGCATAACTTCAAAACAAGTATAAAAGCTCTTTATTTTAAAATCAATAACACAACTCTCATTACATCCGATTGTAAAACTAAGACACATATTCAGGTTAAGTCGATATGCAATATAAAGTTAAGCAACCATGAAAATAAATATAAAGCTTACAAACAAACCTGACAGCTTGACGTGGAAATCCAGTTAAAAACTTAATTGAAGTTGGTCTGAAGCAATATTGTTGAAATCATGGTTTTAAATAACTCAAAAGCACTTAAAGAAACCAAAGTTTTAAAGGCCCACACTTCAACCTATTAAGAATCTGTCATTGTTGAAACAAGGCAAGTCACTAGTACCGGTATAACACCTCTCATATTTAATACCAAATCTGTGATTTCATTATAATTGATTTAACTGAGAATAAATATCTTGAAAAACAAAATCTTATGTCGTTTTTTCACTTTAAGCTAAACCATATTTTAAATAAGTGGAATAAAACAGGACGTGAGTAATAAAGATTAAGATCAGTCAGGATCAACACCTAAAGCTTTAGGTCTGCTGCATGTTGAAGTTTGTCTCGATTCTGTAAAAAAAGAACATCACATGATGAGTAACAAAAACCAATGAAACTTCAAACACAAGTTGTTGCTCACAGTGTGAGGACTCAAAATGTTTTCTTCTAAGGCCTGTAGATAATCCTGGACAGTTTACTAGGTAAATTACAATCAAGATTCAGCTATTTTTTAAATCTAGTATCTAATATCATTTTCACTTCCACAGTAAACATGACTTCAAGGTCACATTGGAGACTTGCAGTGATGTGCTGTGAAAAAACCCTATCAACAAAGAGCACAAATAAGCTTCCCTTCAATAAGCTTCAAAAAAAGAGCCCAGGGTCCACGTCAGCATTTTGTAATCCAGCCCCCATATTGAGTGACAGGGACACTGATACATATATAGATTTAATTAATTGCGTATTCACACTGTATTCAACACTGTGAATATATATTCCCAACAAAGGGAACGAATTATAATGTGTCACATGTATCCTCAGAAAATGTGGATCTGCTGCCACCAAGAGGACATTGAAGGCAACTCACTCCTCATCAAAAAAGGCACAACCTGCAGGGTGGTTTGTTGTGAGAATATCAAAACCCCATGACTCAGCAACCTGTCGTCAAAAGACCTTTAAGGACACTTACACGTCTTTATTCCGCATGTGGTTGTTGTACTGAAGGACTGGTTGGGTGCTTTCTTCATCCTGAGGAAGCTGTGAACAATTAAAAGTTTAACAACATGATTAAAGTGGAAGACTAATAACCCCAGGATCAAACAGGTAAAACGAAATGTATGATGCAGTGTGCACTTGCTCCTGGCATACAATGGGAAATGATGAACTGTTTCTTTGTAAATAGAGGTGGCAGAATGACTGCAGATCATTTACTAACACACACAACAAGTGGAAAAAAAGGGTAATGAACACAAATCAATCAAATGTTTCCAAACAAAAATAGCAAAGCAAAGAATGTCTATCCTGTAAAGCAGTGTATGTTTTGATATATTTTGATATATACCAGCTGGACTTGGTCCCAATCTGATTTTTTGTGGAATAATCTTCTTCCTTCACTGTGATTTGATATTGTTATTCCTATTCAAACAGCAAAAAAACAAAACTCTTTATGATTACATAAAAGTCTCTCACCTCCCAGTAGTGCTCATCATCAAAACAGCTGTCATCTGCAGGATCTCCCCAGATAGGTAATCTTAAAACACAACCTTAGAAGACACAAATAGAGTCAGTATCCCAACACACACAGTCCTTCATTCACTGCATGCAAACAGAGTAATGTCACAGTTATTCAATTACTGTATAATTTACAGGCTGAACTTAAGGGTGTTTGCTGTTTTCCCTTACCAACAAGGATGCCTCCGCCCACACCGAAACAGATAGCCACACAGAGGGCTGCTGCCTGGTAACCACCTTGCTTTGTGGGTGACATGTCACCCACAAAATCAAAGGTCTCTTTGAGCCTTTAAAACAAAAAAGGACACACATTACAACAAAAGCCCATAGTTGGGAATGATACTAAGTATTCCTTTGCTGGTTGATAATCTTTTATCCAGTTAGATGACCTCTCTGTTTGTAAGCCACTCACCCTTCAACGCCATAAACAGACTCTGTTGCAGCTGCGGCAGTAATGGCTCCCACAATGCCACCTATGACTCCTGGCATGGCATGCAGGTTATGGATTCCACATGTGTCCTGGATCTTCAGGTACTTCTCCATGAAAGGCTGGGATGGACACATCAGTTAGGTTTGGCTGTGATTACTTAAAAACAGGCCGGTCGGACTGATGGTCGACTTAAAAGCCGTAAAAGCAGCTAAGATAATGAGTGGCACATTTAGGAAAGCACACTCTGACAGAGAGTATATCAACTAAACAAAAACAAAACAAAAGTTGGGGAAATATTTTGGGGAAGTAAGTTTTGATACGTCTGTGGAGAGTCAAAGAGTTTTGTATTTTTGTTTAAATTTGTGCATTTCTCTAGCTAATTGCCTTCATTGTTTGTTGAGCATTTTCAAAAACGACACTGAGGCTTATCTCTCAATAGCTATACCCAATAAACCAGTTAAATAGCATACCGTGAGGTAGATATATCCCAGCGTGGAGATGATACCACAGCAGAATCCTACGATCAGAGACCCATAGGGCATCAACATGAACTCAGCTGCAGTTCCCACCGCAACACCTCCAGCAAGAGTGGAGTTCTGGATGTGAACCTAAAGTGAGGTCAAAGTGCACCGTTAGACGCAGATAAATAAATGGGGTATCAGTTTAAACCTGAGTATGCATCAAAGTACTTTCAAAATGTTGGCGTTCTACTTCAGCAGAGATCAAATATACACACCTCCCGGTACCATAATCACATTACTACAGGATAGCTTAACTCTAACTCTTAACTTAAAGGTCCCATGTCATGGCCATTTCTACTGATCATAATTCCATTGTTGAGCTATACTAGAATAGATTTATATTGTGCAATTTTCCAAACTCACATTGGTTTCTCATACAGCATCTCTGTATAGTATGTGTATTCACTCTCTGTCCTAAACGGCTTGTTGGAGCTCCTGCCCCCCCTCCCTGTGAGCCCACTGTGCTCTGATTGGTCAGCTCGCCCACTCTGTTCTGATGAGTCTACCACTGTTACAGCGGAACATCAGTGATTATGTGTTACAATGGCGTTAGCAACCAGAAAATGACACCAGTAAGGACAAGCAGATGAGAATCCTGCGTGGGGTCTGGGTGCCGTGTTGGCGGGACGTTGTGCGGCTCGCTGCTGCGAGGAGCGGACAGTGTGAGCTGGGTTCATTTCCTGCTTGACAGCGAGACATCGTGAATGGACGCGGGAAGGGGGGTGCTGAGGGGGCTGCAGCACCCCCATCTGCGAGGCTCCACTAGCACCCGCACCCCCAAACGCGGCGCACCTACAGTGTAAGCGCGCCACAGTTTCGCAGCTGCGAGGCTCCACTAGCACCCCCCCCCAGCGCATCACAGTTTCGCCGCTGAGAGAGTGTGTGTGTGTGAGGAGCTCCACGGACCAATGGGTCCATTTGGGTATGAGCACGTCACTAGGAAGAAAACAACGGAAAAAGAGAGATCTCCAACGAGGCGTTCTGGGGCAGCATAGACAGGTATTTTCTGTGTTAGAGTTTTACTCGCTACAGGGTGTACTTTGAGGGTTTGTGACTTTGCAGACCGTTTACATGCATAACAACCTTCATAACACACAAGGGGGCGGGTAATAACCGGAAAAGCATGACATGGGACCTGTGCTGATCATCACCATGTCTAGTTTCCCGTGCTTCTGGAAGAGGCTGGACATGGCCACAGTAGTGACCACGGTTGAGGCCAGAGCCAGGTAGGTGTTGATGGCTGCTCGGTGCTGCCCGTCCCCGTGGTCCGCGATGGCCGAGTTGAAGCTGGGCCAGAACATCCACAGGAAGAGGGTGCCTACACATAAAGCAGGGTTAATCTTAAAAAGACAGCAGATCCACAGGACATCCAAAATAATGGTAAGTATTGTGAAAAAAGAAAAGAACGAGTATGTAATTAAATATGCCCACCAATCATGGCAAAGACATCTGAGTGGTAGACGGAGCACTGCAGACGACTGCTCTGGTTCAGGTTTGGCCGATAGAGCATCCACGAGATGGAAAGACCATAATAAGCTCCAAAGGTGTGGATCACCATGGAGCCTCCTGCATCTTTGGCCTTCATAAAAGGTCAAATTAGAAATAATACGTGGGTGGAATAAGTTACATAGCATTAGCAGACAAGACAACTGTGAGTCACAGGATTCAGGCGTTTGCCCAGTTCCAGTGTAGCCATAATAAACATGTTACACGATCAGATGGTATCTCTTGCTGAATGACATCAAAACAAAAATAAATTACTTTTTTAACTTACATGTATGATATGTATAATAATATGTTCCTCCACAGCAAACAATGTGATCCCAAACAGAGTCATGACCATTAGCTGGACTGCACTGACTTTGCCGAGCACCGCCCCGTAGGCGATCAGGCAGCTCGCCACACAGAAGTCAGCATTTATCAGGCTGAGGAGGGGAAAGGACATTAAAAACAAGACCATTATGAGATCATTTGAAATCCGTTGTCATACGTCACAATAACTAGTAATAATCTATCTATCTATCTATATCTATCTATCTATCTATCTATCTATCTATCTATCTATCTATCTATCTATCTATCTATCTATCTATCTATCTATCTATCTATCTATCTATCTATCTATCTATCTATCTATCCTGATGTGGCCTGACATTAGACAGTATTTGCATTGGATATTGCTAGATTGTACAGATGTAACAACAGTAAACCAAATAAACAGTACATTTCAGCACTGAAGCAATCATAATCTTATCTATTTATCCAACTCTTTTCTTTCTTTCTATCATACAGGTAGGCGCCTATTATATCTGTTAATACATAGCGACTTGGCTGCCCTTCAATAGTATCATCTTCTAATAGCCTAAGTGTCTGTTTACATTACAGGTACAAGTCAGTCCACAAACACTGAAGCTGTGGGTGCACTGATATATCTGTATGGGATCCTGTCAATCAGACTGGTTGCTTTACCTCTGTGTTTTTTTCTTCTGAATAATAGAGCTGAATAATATTTGCTTAAGATGGTCACAGTATTTAATCAAAATAAAACAAAAGAAGAAGGAATGCTTTTGACTCATTGAGAATAAAACTGATTACCTTTCAACTCCAATTTTGATCTTTCCATCGGGGCCCAGGGAGCCGAACCAGCCTTGCATTAGCAGCGCCCATTGGAGGCCAAAGGCAGCAATGAGGAAGTTGAAACCCACTGCACCAAAGCTGTAGCGCTTAAGAAATGTCATCAGGAAGCCAAATCCAACAAAGATCATCACATGCACATCCTGAAAACCTGGGGCAAAGATAACAGAAGGGAGAGATAAACTATATGAAACATTTAGGTGTATGCAAGATGATACACAGATTAAATAATAAAAGGAAAGGGGAAAACATGAAATAAAATAAGCTAAATACAATACTTTGACGATAACTGACACTGAAATGACAGGAAATCTGGGATGTGCGACGTTTTCCAAAATAAATTCTGATGTGCTTCTGATATGATCTATTGTTCGAAATATAGACGTTTTTTGCAAAAGGTGTATCTTCTTTTGAGACAGTTTGTATATGCTATAACCAGTGGCTGGGGGATACCAGCAGGTATCGTTTACATCATAATACTGTAAGGGCCCGACACACCTCATACTACAATAGCTAGGTTCACACTGTACTATGAAACACTATATTTTGCATAGAAAACATTACCGTCCAAAACTTAGAAAGCATGGACGTGGATATATATACATTTTGAAACCCTAACAAACCAAATGCTTTAGACCTTTAAGATTGTCTTGTCTTGTCTTGTCTCCCCCCCCCCCCCCCCCCCCCTTGTTGTAATTAAAGGAAGGTTGCGTGACTTTAGGATGAGGTGTTAGGAGTCTATACTGACAATATACCGTGTTAGGACGTCGATTTATCATGACATCCAACACCATATCTGAGATGGCTCAATGACAGCCTGACACTGACACCGAGGGTGGTCAGGAGAGGAGAGAAATAAACAACACCCATTTCACACGAACATACACATCCAAATACATTTTCAAGGCTTAAAATAAATAAAAATACATATTTGTATACGCATTTATATGTGGCCAAATGAAACACATTTTGTATCTGTATAAAGTTGTAAGAGTTAGCTGAGGGGAGTCAACCATCCATGGAGATGTGCACCTGTGGGTGTCAGAGCCTTGTCAGCAATGTAGGAATATGCTGATGGGTCAACAGCTATATACAAAAAACATTACAAAGATAAAACAAATGTTCAACGTGGAGAAATGTGGATGCATAAGGTGTAGATATTAGTATACATTAAGATGTGTATTGTTTTAATGGTTGCTAGATTAATAGAAATACAAGTTACCAAGATATATAAAGAGAGTGAGAAGGAATCAAACATTTAAATGAAGACACTTACTTGGATATCTGAAGTAGAACTCATTCTCCATGTCACTCTTATTTGTTTTCTTTCTGTCATCTATCCAGTGCGGATCTGAATCATCATCGTAACGAATAAAAATCCCAAACAAGATGATCATGGCTGTTTCCCACACAATGCAAACTGCTGGGAGACTGATGCGAACATTAGTATTCTTTGGACGGTCACACAATTCCCTGAAGCTTTGAACACAGCCCATTGTTTAGGTAGGTTTTGAGCGTTGTTTTTTCTTCTTTTCTAAGTTATAAAAAAGTCCTTTGCAAAAGTTGCAGCCACTTAACGGCCCAGAGCATCTTTAGCACAAGTAAAGATAGGCAAGGTAGCTGTTTGCTTTAATATGAGGACACTCCCATAGTCACTCCCTCCACTTGGTATGCACTACACACTTCAGGTGGTGACACATCTTAAGTAAGGGATGCTTAATGCTTTTTAATAATAATACATAGATATTTATATACAGGAATAAAGTAGAATAGAATAGAATATCATTTACTCCTTTCCCTATAGCTTTTCTTATAGTAGAGTGTCGATCATCACACTTTGTGAGATATTGTAATATATATAAGTAAAGTACTTCTTCTACTAAGGACACAGAAGACATGCTCCACATCCTGATTGAACAAGAGAAGGATGGTGATGTTTAAGGACGTCTTCTCAACAGATTGTTTTGGTTATATCTTGTCTGGTAGGATAAAACACGTTTGTTATCCAGTCTGAGGGATTACATAGGTTTTATATTTTCTGGAAGCCCCTCTCTTAACACAAACACTCTTAGCATGTTAAGAGAGATTAACATTCCCTTTTTGTATACCATATTAAGCTTTTTTCTATAGTTAAAGGTCTCTAACGGACCTACACTTGTCCTTGTCTCACTAGTTGTTTCCTGTGCCTGTGAAGCATCAACTGTAAATAATGAGTAAACATGCTGGGCCCCATTAGAAAGATGCAGGACGTGTTGGACTCAGTCAACCATCACAGACACAGGGTTCAAGGATGACACAAGGGTCCGGTTTGTTTGAAACAAAGTCTAGTAGTTTATGCACTACAGACACTTATACATGTTTCTTTGACATTAAGCCTTTTCTTAAGTTTATGTGCTCAAAGAATTGACCAAATTTGACATTGTTTAAAATGAAGGAAGTATGGTATAATAACTACAACTGAAAGTAATAAAAAATGTGTGCTTTAGCTAATGAAAAAAATACACTGTCTTAAACGAGTTTATATTATGATGGGAAGCCAGCAGCTGGTTATTTTAGCATGGAAAAAAGACTGGTAAGGGCGAAACAGAAACAAACAGCAGGGGGAAAATCACCTACCAGCATCTCCAAAATTCACTTAAAGGTGGGGTAGGTAATTTTGGAGAAACCAGCTTGAGTGCGCTAGAATGTGAAAATACACAACCGGAAAAAATCTGCCACTTCCTTACAGAGCCCCTCCTCCAACACACGAACGCGCACATGACCAATGAGGGCACGAGATAAGTTTGTGCACAGATGGAAGGCTGACAGGCAGGTAGGCCATCCAGTTATTTTAGCCGGGCCGGCTAAAATGATTGGTCGTTTATTTATGTATTTATTGTCAAAGCATTTAATATATTCATTGCTATCGGGATGTTAAGAGCATTGAGCATTCCATGGAATATAACAAAAAGTGTTTCTGAAATAAATTACATACCCCACCTTTAATAAACACTTTATATCTTGTATGTTTAAGTAGTGTAAAAAAAAAAATTGGGATTATGAGCTGGACTATTACTTTGCTTGGAGCCATTGCCAGGCATCTAGTGTTGTGTTTTTCTTTTTAATTGTAACATGTAAAGTGCGTCTAAAAGGTGCAGGTAGGCAGGTAGTTGCTTTGAACATTTCCAATCTGTTTGATGCTTTTGTCCCTTTCTCAGCCACACTTTGTCAAATGGTGACGTAGGTACTAGGGTGAAAGTACACACAAGGACGCCCTAATGTAAATAAACATCATCCGAACCTACCTGTCCAGTCCTGGCTGTTATGTAAGAAAGGTCAAATTCGCTGGATTTAGGAGAACCCAGCAGCTTGTTTTCCCCCTATGGCCTCAAGAAACTGTGATGACAAGTAGAGAAACTGGCTTTAACCAGCAATAGAAAAAGCAATGTTAATTGTACAGATACATTATTTCACAGGTAATGTGTTGAACACTGTCATTAAGGCCATTACAAATGGTTAGAGAATCATGTTTTCTAATCGAATACATACATAATAGCACATTTGATGAAAACATATCAAATCAAATCAAATCAAATCAAGTTTTATTTATAAAGCACATTTAAAAGCGATTTTTGGTCGAGCCAAAGTGCTGTACATGTAATAAAAACACATTACTACAATCACAATAAAAGACAATAAATTACAACAGATATATATAAAAAATTAAATTAAAAAAACACAAGGAAAAGTCAGGAGTCGTGCTCCGCTCTAACTAGAAGGCCAGAGAGAAGAAGTGTGTTTTTAGTGTAGATGTAAAAAACCCTAGGGTCTGGGCCGACCTCACATGGAGGGGCAGAGTGTTCCAGAGCCTAGGGCCAGCTGCTGCGAAGGCTCGGTGCCCTCGGGTTTTAAGCCTGGTCTTGGGCACTACCAGCAGCACCTGGTCAGCCGACCTTAAGGCTCTGGCTGGGGTGTAGCGATGGAGGAGTTCGGCTATATAGGCCGGAGCCAGCCCATTTAGTGCTTTAAAAACAAATAAAAGGATTTTAAAATCAATTCTGAACCGAACTGGAAGCCAGTGTAGTGAGGCCAGAATAGGGGTGATGTGGTCATGCTTTTTGTGGCCAGTCAGCAAACGTGCAGCTGCGTTTTGGACTAGCTGCAGGCGTTCAATTGAGGCCTGGTCCATACCCACATACAGAGCGTTGCAATAGTCCACTAATAGTGACTACGGTGCTGACCTGCTTGTCGAATTTAAAAGTGCTAGTGAAGGTCACTCCAAGGTTCATGAGGGGAGGATGTTTTTTTTTTGAGAGAGCCCAGAATATCAACCGGAGAGGCTGGAGGTTGGGGTCCAAAAAAGATGACCTCAGTCTTGCTCTCGTTGAGGTTGAGAAAGTTTTTGCTCAGCCAGGATTTTATCTCTGTTAAGCAGTCCATCAACTGCTGTAGTGAGTGTTTGACATTTGCTTTGAGAGGCAGATAGATCTGTACATCGTCGGCGTAGCAGTGGAAGGGAATATTATGTTTTGTGAGAATTGAACCTAGGGGCAGTATGTACAGTAGAAAAAGGATGGGGCCCAGAATCGAGCCTTGGGGAACCCCACAGGTAAGAGGGGCTTTGGCAGAGGAGAAGGCACCTAGCTGTACCGAGAAGCTACGGTCTGTCAGGTAGGACCTGAACCATGCAAGGGCAGAGCCTGTGATGCCAGCGGACTGTTCAAGCCGTGACAGCAGGATGCTATGGTCCACAGTGTCAAAGGCAGCTGTCAGGTCTAACAGCACCAAGACAGCTGGGCGACCTGAGTCGGCGGCTAGGAGCAGATCATTAAAAACTCTTAAAAGGGCTGTTTCAGTGCTGTGCATGGGTTTGAAGCCAGACTGAAACTTTTCATGGATTCCATGGATGGTTAAAAAAGACTGCAGCTGGGCGTAGACTACTCGCTCCAGGGCTTTTGATAAAAAAGGTAGCTGGGAGATGGGCCTAAAATTTGCGAGAATGGAGGGGTCGAGATTTTTCTTTTTAAGTAGTGGCTATCCACAAGGTTTTATAGGCTTTTAATATTGGGAAATGTAATACCATTTTTGACATAACAGCTATTTCTCCCCCTATTTTTGCATGATCAATTCATAAGTGTGAAGACACAACTAACGTTATAATAATCTATTCTTTGCTAAACAAACATTGATATATAGTCCTGAATACAGCTTCAGCTTTTGTTGCTGCAAAACCTATGTTCAACATTTCCGGTCAGATTTCCTGGTCACGGTATGTTTGGTTCCTCATCATGTCAGTAAAAAATAACTGCAAAAGAAAATGACTCTGCGAACCATTACTTCACGAGGAAAAAATGAGCGTGTCAGCAGCTAAACCTATAGATCAATGCACTGGTTGTGTGCTCACCAACGAATAACCTCATTAAAACGAACGAGCACTTATCCATGCTCATTGATCTTACTGCTCGGTTTAGCACTGCTACCTTGGTGCTGTTATCCTGGCAGATGATGTTCTCTTCAGGGATGAAGTGCAGCATTGATCCTTCTTGATCCTGAAACTCCTGGCTTTTTGAAACAGCTTTTGTAACTTCGATATTCTTTAGAATAAAGGAAAGACGTGTGATTAACTGTTGCCTGTAGGTTAAACATATAAAGCTGTATACATCTGTGCAGCATGTTTTAGCTATGTCAGACTAAGGCTTTTTTATCTTTTATTTCCCTGCTCCCTGTAAACCAAGTGATCAAAATCCATGACAGCTTCACTTATCTAACCTTTGGGCTACTGAGACATACTGAAAATGTGTGAAGCAGGAAGTTACTATGAATAGTTAAGAAAGGTGGTGACTACTACGCTAACACATCACAACAGGAGCTACCACTGAATTCCCATGAGGCAGATGCAGTAAATAACGTGATGCAGTCTTAACAGGCCTGGTTTGTAGGCAGCAGTCCTATTCCCTGGTCATAGCATGAGAAGTGAGGTTGTTACTTATCTCAGTAACAATTGAGAAGAGAATAAAACTCCATTACCATCATTGCAGAAAGCACAATTCAATTAAGTGGCAGTCCTAAAAAGGTGTCACACGTACCAAACAGCAATACAAATAAGTAAGAATAAACATGTACTGTATATCTTAAAGTTATAAAGTTTCCGGATATTGCACATTTGCAAATAAAGAGGAACATATATTGTACAAAGAAATATATTAAGGTGTAACCAGACATAAGAGAAGCTTCTCTCTTTCAGTCAAATAACTCTTGCTCAATATTACAAACACTTGTCAGCGTCATCAGTGACTTACAGTTTCCACAACTCTTCTGTTGAATAAACACACTCGACTGTTTCCCTCTGCTACAATAGAAGATCCTTCAAGCATCACATTGAACACGTTTTCCTTGAATGACCACTGATTTAGACTGATATCTCAATCAATGCTTCAAAAAGATGTACCTCCATATTCCTTTTATTTCATTCATGAACAGCACCTGTCTTTCTATTTTGACAAGCCAAAACCCAAAAATAAATACTAAAAAACGAATTTTATATTTTAAGATAAAATGCTTTCTGAATTTTATTTGAAGTTTTAAAACAACACATCAATTACTCAATTTGACATTCTCTTACTGATAATATAATTGTGTAAGAAGGTCTTTTGTGCACGGGACAAATGCAGGAAAGGAGATTCGGCATCGTAAAGACATTTCACCACAAAACCTAAACACATGTCAGGACATCTGAGGAATGTGTGCTGATCATTTAATGTTCATGCATTATAAATCCGTCAGATGGTGAGTGAGGTGCTGTTCTAACTTGTGAAACTCCGCTTCAGGCAGAAGATACCTCTCTATGACATCCTTGACATCTTTCTCAGTAGAGAGCTCATAGTCCTTCTTGTTCTTGAATGGTAAATGCCCTGCCAGCTCACAGAGAGCAACGTTGAAGGCAGACTCGTCCTTTGCACCGAAGCACGATGTTCTGGGCCATACAGCGATGCGAACACCTTTTCTTGAGCAGTGATCCTTTTCATCCTGTATCTGATCAGAGGGCGGACTCCCGCGAGTCAAGAACAGGTTGTGCGCAGTATTACTTTCCACAAGAAAGTCTGTGACCTGACAGATGGCTCTGGCAACTTTCACCACACACTCTGATTCTGTGTAAAACAAAAAGCCTGCAGGAAAGTCCAACAAGCGATAAAATCCCTTTTCAGGAACTAGCGGCTTGACAGGCACAGATTCTATCTGGAGCTCATGGTGCAGGTAGTACCCATGTAGATGTAAATGATTGACAGAGGCAAATGCTCCAAGACTATTGAACCCCACACGGAAGCCAGGATCGGAGCTCAGGAGCACAGATTCAATACCAACCTGGATGGAGAAGCTTGTCAGGACCTGCGGTAAACAGCATGAAGGTTCTTGAACAAAGAGACAATGTCCAAACTCCAAAGGGCTGACATTGACCAGCACCACCACTCTCCAACGTTCATGCAACTGTCCCTTTTCCTTTCTTCCCTCAACAACCTTTGTCATCTCAAATATGACTTCTTCTGGATCGATTTTGTTAAAATTAAACTGATTGGCATTGAACTCCTGCTTAATGCTCAGTATTTCCTGAGGCTTTCTTCTTTGTAATCCTCTTTGAATATTCAGCTGGGCCACATAGCCATGTGGGCCCGGAATGATACGCGTTTGTAAGTCATCCAGATGGTAGCGGAAGAGCCCCCTGTTCATCCTGTCTGACCAGCCGGCTTGGATGGTCAGGTCAAAATGTGATGGCTCTGGTGCAAGTCCATTTCCACTGCTCCGCTGGGCCTCTGTGACAAAGTCCTGGCCGTTATACACAAACTGGAGCGTCATGGTTAGATCTGCAGGGGAATAGTGAGGCAGAGAGGCGTTACATTTGACAATAAGGTTCACTATGGTAGGTTACTGTATCATTCTGCTGTAGTCAGACATAGAGCCAGGTGATAGCCAGCTTGTGATCATAGCAGCGAGTTATGATTATCAATCACTCTGCATAGAGTAGCACTATCATACTGCATTGTAGTTAAACTATTTGGTATGGATTTGGAAACAATCTATTTTTGGTAAATCAATTCATAACACATACGTAAGCAAAACGTTTGCAATGACACATTAATTATATTTATTTAAGTATAAGTTCCACGTATAGCCAATGGGCAAATTAGCACGAAGGTATTGAGGATAACACACTGGTTTTGTGTAACTCTAACGGGAATGTATAGATGGTCCCTAACAGTTAGTTAGTTAGTGACACTCTGTGGAGGAGCGACCGGCCTGGCCGCTGGATCCTAGTTTTTTTGCAGTTCGACCAGTTTAAAGCTTTTTTATATACCTTTGTGTGATATGTTGTATACTAATGGGTCCAAAGACATTTCATCGTACATGTGTATGATATGAATGGATGTATTCGCTTCCTTACCTACACGTGTTCTTCTTCTGTGGTGTTTATTCGTGAATTTCCGGTTCAATTTTTCACAATAAATGTTTCTATAAAAGTATTTATTTGGAAAATCTTTGTTACCCCTTTAATAAATGTGTACATCAATTTCGACATCAGATTGAGTAAATAATTGAGTTTAATATTTTTTACATTTACATTTTAATACGGTAATGATAGCAGTTATAGCAGCCTACCGGTTTTAAGTTGAAAGGAGGACAACTTGACAAAAAAACAACGTTACATCCTATACATATTTCCAAAAACAGATCGCTGCGTATTACACGAAAATTATACTAATATAAGCACATGATAAATCTAAAATTCACCCAGTAGTGAAACAAATATTCAAATAATTTAGGCTAGCCTACATTATTTGAATATTTTGTTGTGGTCACAATAAGCAGACTCAAACGAAAAGTCCTGCATTCACTTAAGTACAGAATTGTCATCAACAAAATGTAATCAAAGCATCAAAGGTAAAATAATTTGCTTTCAGAGTTAACACATTATATACTGGAATATTATTATTGATGCATTTTGATGTAAATATTTGCCTAATGTTATGTATGTTATGTCGCTAACTGTACGGAGGCTCAGTCACTGGTACATTTTTATATATAAAGCCATGTTAGGGAAACTTCCATCCTACATCTGCTCCCTGATCTCACGGCGAATTGTAAGTGGCTACTGCCGGAGATCGCATGCTGTGGTTTTATTAAATGTGCCAACTGCTAGGACTGTCTTAGGGAAGATAGCATTTAGATGCGCAGCTCCACTGTCCTGGAATAGTCTGCAAATGAAATGGAAACTGAGCAATCTGGTGCCACTAAATGTTTTTAAAGCACGGTTGGATGCTACTCAATCAGAAGCTGTTGGTACCTGTTCATGTGGATAGTTATGTAAATTGTAATCCCTGTAATGATGCTGTATGATGTCCTTTTTGTTGTTCTGTTTATGTTTTTAATGTTTCATGTGGAACCTACTTGAGCAGGTCTCCCTTGAAAAAGAGATCAATTATCTCAATGGGATACAACCTGGATAAATAAAGGTTTGAAATGAAATGAAATGTGAGGTAAAGCCATGTACAAAGTACAATATTTGCCTCTATTAATAGTAATTGGGCATAAAATGAAATTCCTCCTAACTATTTGTTTCAAAATAACCTTGTTCCCCCTAATAAGTGCTCACATACAACCCACCCCACCCCCAATAATCACACACACATAAAGCTGTTCAGAGGATATCCAAACGATAAGCTTATCGTTTGGATATCTTGCCGTATTGTATAAGCTTGCCGTATTGTATTGGAAAAGAATGTGAGCAATATTTTACTGCTGAGCAACTGTCCAGTTTTTCCTTGTTGATCCGTGGAGGCTCAACTCACTCTGAAAGAATGAGCAGCTGGCCAATGAGCCATCACGGTTATTTTTGTCTCTGCATGCTTTAGGAGATAAAGCAGGCAGTGATTGGCAGAGTTGTGAATGTGTACCACAGAGTTTTGGGGCTCATCACAGACGGTGCGTCTCATCTAAACTACCTACTGAACTAGCTGTGAAAAACTATGGAAGACAGCAACAACAAAGTAGGTACAGTTGTGTTTGATGCCTGGTTAGTATATGTAAAACTGCAATGATTTCTTAAAAGTTATTTAAACATATAGTTACAAAATAGTTGTGGGCAGTTAACAAATTACACTTTGATTAATTATTTGAAATATTGATTATGGGGTTTCTTTTCTACGTTGAAATGGCTTTAACCTTTTTAGAGCTTCAAGAGTTGGACAATAATAGAGTTGTATCTGTTTAGAGGAACAGATGGCAGTCTGGTCCGCCATGCTTCTAGTTATTTTTAACACCATCAACAGTTTCTGTTACCAACACATCACTCTCACTATGATAGCCTAATGCTAGTTTGTTAGTTTTGCCCTGATTGTTTTAGCTGGTCTTTCATTTCATTTTCTCTGACAGTTTTGAACCACTTTCTTTTGTAGGTGGAAAAGAACGCAGAAGATAAAGCTCCCAATCTAAATATAAATATGACACCAAATGCTGATGGAGGGCACACAGAAGATGATTCACAGTCACCCCTAACAGTCATTGTCCAAGGTATGCTGCATTAATCCAATTTGTAATTAATCCATTAATACACCGCATATTCTCTAGATAGTGACTATTAATACTTCCCTTCTCCCAATTTTCAATTTAATCATGTTTAAATGAATCACAATTAGATATATATGCAATAAACCATATTGTGAAACAAATACGAGACTCATTTAAAGCGTAACAACACAATCTTAGTTCAAACACGCACTTATGTTTTTGTGGCTTAATATCTCGCAATGTTTTGAACGAGTCACATTTCAAAGTTCTGAAATGTTTTCCATCCTTTAACATGTGTTCACTGATCAGATAAACGTTTTTATTCAAATTAATTTAAGTAAAATATGTATTTGGTTTATCAAGCACAATATTCATTTTGTAAAATCAGCCCGACTCCGCAAAGTAATCCCAATTAATGTAATAATTTCACGCTTTTATCCTCTTACACCAGGTCATGGGGCCACTTCTGCAGAGAGTGGAGAAAACAATCCCGATGTCCAGACTGGCCCTGACACAGATAAGGAAAATGCCATTAAGCCAAACCTCCAGATAACATATAGCACATTTACTGTCAAGAATGGTCAAGATCTGAAGGTAGAGATCCCAGTGGTTGGGCACCCTGCACCACAAATTGAATGGAAAAGAGATGGTCAGGCCGTCAAGGAGACATCAAGACTAGAGGTTACGAATATGTCATCATTAACAATTCTTCATATCAGACATGCTGCCAGGGAGCACTTTGGTCACTACTCTATCATTGCAAACAACAGTGCTGGAAAATGTACAGGAGAAATCACTGTGGTTGTTCTAGAAAAGCCAGATCCACCTACAGGGCCTTTGAGAATTGATGAGATCAGTTCTGACTACGTTGTCATCTCCTGGGAGCCACCAGAGTACACAGGAGGGTGTCAGCTAGACAACTATGTAGTAGAGAAACGTGACACTCTAAGTACAGAATGGCAGACTGTGTCAGCAACAACAGTAAGAACCACAATCAAAGTAACAAAACTGAAGACAGGAAATGAATACCAATTCAGAGTGTTTGCAGAAAATAGATATGGAAAGAGCACTGCAATCACCTCTCCTATTGTAATGGCACAGTATCCTTTTAGTGTGCCCACTGAGCCTGGCACCCCCTCTGTGTCCACAGTGGCAAAGTACAGCATGGTGGTTGAATGGGAGCCTCCAGCCAAAGATGGAGGCAGCCCACTCATCGGCTATCACCTTGAACGCAAAGAGAAGAACAGCATTTTATGGACCAAGCTGAACAAACTTGTTATACCTGATGCTCGCTTCAAAACAAATGGACTGGAGGAAGGCATTGAGTATGAATTTAGGGTCTTTGCGGAGAATATTGCTGGACTTAGCCCATCTAGTAAAATATCTGAATGCTATGTGGCAAGAGATCCGTGTGATCCACCTGGTAAACCTGAAGCTGTTGTCATAACAAGAGAGAACATCACACTGCAGTGGGAAAAACCGAAGTTTGACGGTGGAAGCGCAATTACAGGCTATGTTGTTGAAAAGAGGGAGCTACCAGATGGCAGATGGATGAAGGCAAACTACACCAGTGTTATTGAGAATCAGTTCACAGTCACAGGTCTGACAGGAGGTCAAAGTTATGAGTTTAGAGTGACTGCTAAGAATGGTGCTGGTGTTTGGAGCACACCTTCAGAAAATGTAAACATCATCGCTCAGGATGTTATTGAAGGACCCACAGTGCTTTTGGATCCCAAGTTCAAGAGTACTACTGTTGTTCAGGCTGGTGAGACATTTGTTATTGATGCTGATTACTTTGGAAAGCCCCTCCCTGAAGTATGTTGGCTCAAGGATGGAAAAGAAATTGACAAAGCTACACAGAGAATGGAGGTAAAAAACACCCTCACTCACACAACTTTGACCGTCAGGAATTGTGCACGAGTGGACGGGGGACAGTTTGTCTTGAGCCTCAGAAACATGGGTGGAACTACATCTACCCGTGTTGTTGTCAAGGTCCTGGATAGATCTGGTCCTCCAGACGGACCACTGAAGGTGAAAGTTGTCAGTGCAGAGAAGTGTAATCTTCACTGGAACCCCCCTTTAAATGATGGTGGTGCCACTGTTTCCCACTACATCATTGAAAAAAGGGAGACCAACCGTGTTACTTGGACAGGGGTTGAGCATCACGTTGAAGCTGTCAGTTACAAAGTGACAAAACTGGTGCCTGGTAAAGAGTATATATTAAGAATTGCTGCTGTGAATAAGTTCGGTGTTGGTGAATTTCTGGAATCAGAACCCTTCATTGCACAAAATCCATTTACACCACCCAGCGCACCTTCTACCCCTTCAGCCAGCACTGTGACTGGTGACTCCATAGTGCTCTCATGGGAAAGGCCTGAGAATGATGGAGGCTCAGAAATTGAGGGCTACATCTTGGAGAAATGTGACAAAGAGGGAGTCAGATGGACCAAATGCAACAAGAGACGACTAAATGACTTGCGTTTTCGATGCACAGCACTGGCTGAGGGACATTACTATCAGTTTAGAGTATTTGCAGAGAATGCTGCTGGTGTTGGTGCACCCAGTGAGCAAAGTGAGTACATCAAAGTATGTGAAGCAACTTACCCACCTGGACCCCCTACCAACCCAAAAGTGATAGACTATTCCTGCAGTACTGTGTCTCTGACTTGGTCAAGGCCTATCTATGATGGTGGAGCAGCCACCAGTGGCTTTGTAGTTGAGATGAAAGAAGCATCAGAAGATGAGTGGATTGCATGTACTCCGAGCACAGGTGTAAAGGACACAAACTACACCGTGGAGAGACTAAGAGAAAATGCAGAGTACAATTTTCGTATACGTGCGATGAATGTTGCTGGTGTTGGA